AATCTGACTTCTAGCATGAGTCATTGGTAAGCAAATGTGTATTGACTACTTAAGGAGTATATACCACTCTTTTGGGTGGTAGAAGAGCTAAACCAGGATAAGTGCAATGCAGATTTCAAGCGTAAAGCTTTGTTTCAAGCTCTATTCTATATGTCAACTTGTCTTCCTTATGATTTGACAAAAGCACAATTTGCAATCCCAGCTACCTATCACTTAAAGAGCAAAAGAGAATTTCACCAAAGTTGATTTGATGTTGTGGGTGAGAGATAAAGCATTTTAAGCCTTGTTCTCTACAGTGCTGACTTTATGAAAAGGAACCCTCTTAACTGACCTTGAGAGTCAAGAGGAGGCAAAACATCTTTGATAGGAAATTTTGAATTTTTAACATAACTGAGTTGGAAGGATATATGAAACTTTATAGTTGAGATGTCCAATAACTATTATAAATATAAATTACAAGGTGTATTAGAATGTACACTAAGAAAGTAAAAAAAAGAATATATGTGCCATAGAATTTCAGAGGAAAAGCTCACATGTTGAGAGAATGCTGAGTAATTTTAGAGATGAATTAACAGCCATTCTGGACTTAAAAGATACGTTGATTTTTAACTGGTTTGATTGTTTGTAAGATATTTTGAGAACTGGCAGAGGAAGCTGAAAAGGAGGTTAAAGCTGAATGGTGAAAGATTTTGAATACTGAAGCAAGGATTTGATTATTTAAACAGTGAAAAAAGTGGAAGGTTTTAGAGGAAGGGAGTACAATTCTTAAAGGTGTACTTTAAGGAATTTGACCTTTAGTAGTGTCCATTGATTGTTGCTCTGAAAGACGTAGAGGTCCTCCATAGTTAGTGGCTGTTCCAGTATATAACTTTGAACATGTTCCTCACATTTTCTTTAGTGTGTTTTGTGGATGAACCCTTAATTGCCAATGTCATGTGGTACTAACTGAATTGAATGATAAGTATTTGTAAATACTTCTTAGGTGTCCAGTTCTATGGTAATTGCTATAAGGAGTAAAAAATAAGCCAAATATTTTGAATTTTTTATGGAATGTAGAGTTTAACAAGTAGGGGGAAGGTGTAAGATGGCCATATGACCTGGAGTAGCCAAGGGTGATGTCATGGAAAGATTAGCACCTAAACTGGTTTGAAGGATTGGGTGAAAGTCACATGGATGGTGGCAACAAAGTGAATCAATATGATGAATGAAGATACCTTGGCAAGAAGACATGCAGGGACAATGAGGAATTTGGTTTAAATGAAACTTAAGAGCTAGTGTTGGTAGATTAATAAGAAACAAGGTGGGGATTTAGGGTCTAACCATAACTAACCTTTAGAGATGGACCAGCCTATTTAGCGTAAGAAATAACAAGTTATAGAAGGCTTATCAGCAATGATTCATATTATTAAAATATGTCTCAGGAAATTTAGTCTGGCAACAGTATTTATGGATTTGGGAGAAGAAGAAGTTGGAAATGAAAAAGAGTGTAAGATGCTGATTTAGGAAACAGGTGTGAGGGCTTAGAGTGTGAAGTCCCTGACAGTAGGGATGGAGAACACAACTGAAAGAAAGATTTTGACAGAAGAATGAAAAAGAAATTAGCACCAAATTTCCATAGCTGGGAAATGAAGTATCAAATATTAGTCCATGCATAATGACTGGGGAGATTAGAAGCACATATTTTTGTAGAGAAGAACAGGATGAAAAAGAACATGATAAGCTTGGTTTTTAACATACTGAGTTTTAAATGGTAATATAAACCAAAGGAATATGTTTTGAAACTATGAGCTTGGAGCATAATTGAGATGTTTAGGCTATAGACTTAAGGTTTGTTATTTATGATCATTTTGTAAGAGTTAGGACATAACTTTAGATTCTGCTTTTGTTTAGTTCTAAGCTACGTAACCTTTGCAAATCAATGTAGTTCTCCACTCTGGAAAAGGGAAAAATAAAATTAGTAGGTATTTGGTTATTTTTTATGCTCTGCACAATACATTAAACTTTTCTATGGGGTAGGTCCTGTGTCATCTCTATTTCACAGATCAGCAATCCGACGTGCAGATAGATTGTATGACTTGAGATTGCACAGCTAGAAAGTGACAGAGCTAGGATCTGAACCAACGACTATTTCCAAGCTGCTGCTTTTAACCAGTTATGCAGTGCTGATTTCACTGTGCCTCACGACAGCATGTGCCTTACCTGTTTTTACAGTTGTGTATTTATGAAGTGCTTACTAAGCGCCATATTCTATGCTAAGTGCATTTTATGTATTATTTTTACTTAGTCATCTAACAAATCTATGAGATTGCTATAATTTTTTATTGAATTTATTGGGGTAACATTAGTTCACAAAATCATACAGGTTTCACTTGTACAACTCAACAAAACATCATCTGCACACTGCATCGTGCACCCATCATCCCAAGCAAAGTCTCTTTCTCTCCCCATTTTCCCCCCCTCCCACTTTGCCCAGCTCCACCTAGCCCTCATCCATTTTCCCTCTGGCTATCACCACACTGTTGTCTGTATATTGTGTTTTATATGTATAATATATAAATAAATATATGTGTGTGTGTGTGTGTGTGTTTTGCTTAATACCTTCACATTCTTTCATCCAGTCCCCCAACTGACCTTAGGATAATGATTCAGCATGGCTTGTGAAGCCCCATAAGATCGGTCCTCTTTCTAGCTTTTCAGCCTTATCTCATTATTACTCTTCTAATTATGTTCCAGCTTTGCCAAACTTATTTCAATTTCTAGTAATCATCATGTGCTCTGGGCCTTAACACACACTGTTCCTTCTGGAACCGTTTTTCCTTCTCTCCTGTCTTCTCTCTTTTTCCCTCTCTCCCTCCCTCACTCCCGCTAGCATTTCCTAGTTCCTTATCCTTCAGCTTAAGTTTTACTTACTTTGAAAAGCCCTTTGAGTTCCTTCTAGTTAGGTCTCCTGCTATACACTCCACAGCACTCATGCATCAATCAAAGCTACCACTACCCTCTATTGTAATTGCTTGTTTAACATTCTTTCTATACCTACAGACAGTAAGCTGTTATATGTATAATTTATGTCTGCCCCCATTGTTATCCCCAGCACTTAAAACAATGACAAACCTACAGGTATTCAATAAGTGCATCTTGAATAAGTGCTATGGATGAATATATGCAGCATGCAATTATTGTGTATGTTAAGCATATTATTTGTAAAATGAAATTGTAGTGGATTTTATGAACCTCATAGTTTTCTCTAGATGGTCGAGGGTGGGGGGCAGGATGAGGGTGAAGTGCAATTTCATTTGCCTTTTTTCCCTCTAATTTTAAAATGACTATCAGATAAATGAGTCTGATTTAAAAGGAAAAAAAATAATGATGTAATTAGAAATTCTCACAGGATTATTACAATCTTTTAAAGTGATAGAAAATTAAATAAGGAAAGTATGATGCCCTTAATCTTTCAGTTCAATAATCAGTAGCACTCAAATTGAGTTATATAGATAGGAATATTTATCTATATAAATAAGTGTGTCAGAAAAAAATAGGCCCACGTAAGTAATTCTTATTTATTAGGAATTTACTTTTTACATGCTCGGACCCCCAAACATTCTTATAAACCATGCAATGACCCAAGTTATTCCCATATGTTCAAAATGTTTTTTAAAAAGCTTATCTTAACAGTGGTTACATGGAAAACTAATGTTCCTGTTATCTGCTCCCATTATGAACCACCTGCCATAATTCTGCCTGCTGATTCTCTGCTTTATGACCCAACATGGTGAAATCTATCTACTTTGCTCCTGTGAGTTCTTCTACAGAAGTTTCCTTTCCCTCTCTTTGCTTGAGTTTGTCTTTATAGTGTCATTTACATTACTACTGATCCTTGGAGGGAGCAGTAGAATTTTCATAGATCCATGTGTCATGTCTCTAAAGACACATACTCAGTAGTTGAAATGTGATGGATTCAGAATGATAGCACAACCACAAGAATAGCCAAATAAATAAGTGCATAAGTATGCAGGTAAAACTAAAGATAGGCCTTGGTCCCAAAACTGGCAGTAACAGAGTACATCTGTGTTGTCACTCTTCCTTTGGATTAGGAGAGGCAAGAAGAAGGGAGAGCTCTGAAATTCAGAGCAAAGGAGATGGAATTTTAGTGATGAAGTCTCTACACAAGAGCAGGGAAATTCTGGCACAGCTAGTGAGCATGCTCCAGCTGATTCCAGCCGTGGACAGCCAAACAGATGATCTTACTGTCAGTATCAGGATCATTTGAATAATATAGCTTATATTTAATACAAATCAGGGGTGTTGTTTTTCTTTGTTTGCTTGTTTATGTTTTTAACTTCTGGTTTAATTAGGTGACATTGTAAGCTATCCCAACCTTTCTTGGAGATGGGTCTTCCTATAGTTTGTGTGCAGCTTGAGAACTTCATAGCTCTCAGTACCCTTGGGACTTTACTGCTACCAATAACCTTAAGCATAATAACCATGTTTGTGACTTCTTTTGTTCACAAGGAAAGGCCTTAGATTGCTTTCTCTGTGTCTGTCACTGAAAAATGCTCTAAACACAACATATTTTTTTCCTTCCATATATAGGTCAAAGGGCAGGGGGAAAGCACCAGTTTGGCTGCATATATTCTCATTTACTACATAATGACTTAGTGCCTGTCTCTCTGAGCCTCCCTTTCAATCTAAAGCAAGTACATCCCTAAAATGTATAGGATTCTTTAAGTTTTCTCATTATACATAAAAATGTAGGTTGCTTTCACCTTTTGCAAGGGATTTGGAATTATTAAAAGTCCTATGCTTTATGACAACATTTCTCAAATGGCTTTAAATACATGTTTTAAGCAGAAATATAAAATAATTTTTCTGTAGCTTGCAGTCTATTTTTGGAATTAAAATTTATTATGTGGATATTTTTTAGGACAGAATAATATGTTAATTGAGCATTGTTGCTATCTAATTTTAAGTTTACTGTTTCTTTTTCTTATTTTTATTTTCAGCTTTCTAAGAAATATGGAGTCCATGTTTGTGGAGAAGGTGGAGAGTATGAAACGTTCACTTTGGATTGCCCTCTATTTAAGAAGAAAATAATTGTGTAAGATATCATTTCAGCATTTTCTTCCCTTTCCTTAAACTTAAGTGATGGGAGAACTTAACATTAAGCCCAAGGCAACTTTTGTTGGAAGAAATAGAACATGTCCTTTAAGTTCACAAACACTCAATTTGTTTAATACCAGTGAAGTCGTCTGAATACCTAAATCAATACTGACAAGACGAGGCCTTCATAGAAGGCTATAAACTTTTTAGACACCGCACTTTCGTTTACTTGCTGATTATGGCCTGCAGTAAAACTGGTACCTACACACTGACACTTTTATCCTTTCATGAAGTGTGAATTGCCTGTATTATTTATCTTTCATTACAGCTACATTTGATAAACTGCCACATCAGTAGCCTGTGGGTTCCATTAACTCCATCCTCTTTCTTCTTTTTTCTGACTTTAACAACACAGAATGGTAACACTAAACATCTCTCTTCAATTATTTTGGGTTATTCTTACAAACAAATTTTGTTTTTTAAGTGAATTTGGTTTATGGTGAGTAGTGTGATTTCTTTGCCATAAATTGTTAAAATTAGTGTAACGAAAAACAGGAACTTTCTCCAGTTTGTTACATTATTACCCATACTCTAATTTATGTCACTCTTCTCATGTGCTGAGAGAGCACTTTATCTGCTTCTCCTAAGCTCCTCTGCTTCTTGGAAAAGATTGTCAGAATTATGCTTGATTTCAGAAACCTCATCTGATGAAAGATTAGAATTTTATATAGAATGGACAGCTTCAATATTTTCAGCAGTAAGAGGTAACTTCTTTGTACATAGTAATAATGAGGGAAGGAGTGATCTAAGAAAATTATGACTACTGTAGGTGAAGTTTCTAAAAAATACACTTACCCCGTGAAACATGGCCAAGACACTTTATTACTTTATGCAATAGTCACTCACTCTTGCCGCTCTCATGTTCTCCTAACTTTTTTCCATTAATAATCATCAAGATAATAATTTCTTTGGTAAATATTTATCAAGTACCTATTTATCAAGTACCTATTATGTCCAAAGTTTTCTTCTGGGACCATTGATGTTCAAACAGTTCTTGCCTGAAAAGGCAGGAGGAGGACACATCTGTATATATATAAAAGCCTAAGCAACCATTAGACCATTTGACCTGTAGCTATGATGTGTACTGACCACCAGGGGGCAGACGCTCAATGCACAGGCATGGAAACACGGAACAGGCCAATGAATTTCAGAGGGAAGCAGGAACAGGGAGGGCAGGAAGAAATTAACCAAAGATCTTATATGCATACTAGAAGCCCGGTGCTCTGATTCATGCACTGGTGGGGTCCCTCGGCCTGGCCTGCAGGGATCGGGCCAAAACCAGCTCTCTGACATCCCCTGAGGGGCCTAGATTGTGAGAGAGCACAGGCCAGGCTGAAGGACCCCACCAGTGCACAAGTCCATGCACTGTGCCTGTCGTCTGTATATATTATGATACAAAATGGTAAAGGGTACAAGTCATGAGAGTGAGTTCATAAATAAAAGATATTTCTCAGACTATGAGGGTCACAAAACAATTCATGAATGAACTGTGCATTAGATGTTATTTCTATGAAATAATACTTTGGTTATTCAAGAAAAGCATTTGCATGCTAGGGTGAAATTACAGTATAATTAGAAACTTGCAATATATTTACTTACTATTATGGGCCTAACCAAATTAGAAAAGAAAAAGAAGAAAACATGATAGGACAAAAAATGTCAAAGAATAGTGCTTTTCCTGTTTACTTGGCAAGTTGAGGTCCTATATAGCACCCAGAAGACTTTATGGTCAACCTAGACTTATAAGCCATGTACTTCTATGTACTACATCAGCAGAATTTACATTTATCATAGTGCTTCAGACCTGACAGATGCATCTTTTTTCACAGCCTCCTTTTGTAGACAAGGAAACCTGAGCCTGGCTGACACACTGGCATGAGGGGACTTCGTCATGCTATTAGAGAGAGATGACAGGGGAGGTGTCTTAGAAACCACGGTGCCAGAATGAGCCATTCAGTTCACCTGAATGATCAGTTACGGAGGCGACTTCAGTGGGTGGGGTTGCTCTGTGGGAGTTCTTCCTGTAAGGATGGGCAGGAAAACCAAGGATACCTGATAAGAACTAACATACAGCTGTGTGCCTGAACACAAGCACAAATGTCTTTTCATTCTTACTTACTTATCCGGAAATCAGTAATCTGATTCTAATGCTTAAGCATCTCCTTTGCTTTTATCTTCATAGGCTCTGCCTCACCTCAGTTTCATCACTTTTTTACTTGATTCCTTTTGCATTTAGGGTTATTATTGATAGGTAGGCAGAATTATTGCCATTTTAATTCTGCATGGCTAGGTTTCTCTCTCTGTTTCCTTTCATTACGGCAGTTCCTTTAGCATTTCTTATAATGCTGACTTGCTGGTAATGTACTCCTTTAGCCTTTTTTTTTTTTTTTTTTTTTTTTTTGTCTGGGAAGCTCTTTATTTGACCTTCTATTTTGAATGATAGATATAGTAATCTTGGTTTTAGATCCTTGCTTTCCATTTCTTTGAATACTTCATGCTATTCCCTTCTGGCCTGTAGAATTTCTGATGAATATCTGACAAAATAGACCTCGAAGTGAAGGCCATTGCAAGAGATAAGGAAGGCCTCTTCATAATACAAAGGGATCGATACAAGAGGATATAACTCTGGTAAACATATATGCACCCAGTGCAGGAGCACCCAGGTGTCAGCCTTATGAGACCTCCTTTGTAAGTAAGTTTTCTTTTCTCTTGCTGCCTTTACGATTCTCTTTGTCTTTAATTTTTGGCATTTTAATTATGATTTGTCTGGGTGTGGGCTTGTTTGGTTTCTTTTTGCTTGGTGTTCTCTGTACCTCCTGAACTTGTGTGACTTTTTCCTTTACCAGATTAGGGAAGTTGTCTGCCATTATTTCTTCAAACACCTTCTCTATTCCTTTCTCCCTTTCTGCCACTTCTGGCACATCTGCTATTCTAATATTGTTACGTTTCACATTGTCCCACCGCTCCATTAAGCTGTCCTCCTGTTTTTTCTTTTTGGTCCTCTGATTTGAGTGATATTTTCAACTCTGTCTTCTAATTCACTGATTTAATCCTCAGCTTCCCCTAATCTGCAATGTATTTCTTCATTATGTTATTTGTGTTATGTTATTCTTTATCTCAGACTGTTCTTTTTTCATAGTTACTGTATCTTTTCCATGCTATTGAGCATCTTTACCATCATTACTCTGAACTCTGTTTCAGATAAATTTCTTGTCTCTGCTTCATTTAGCTCTTCTTCTGGAGAATTCTCTAGTTCTTTCATTTGGGGGCTGTTTCTTTGTCTCCTCATTTTGCCTATCTCTTTGGGTTTGTGACTATTTATTAGGTAGATCCTCACACTCAATCTCTAGTGCAGGACAGTGTTAAAGACTGTTTCTGACTAACATCATGCAAAGACTCAAAGCCTCCAGAGACCACCTCTGCCTACAGACTGATAGAATTGTTCCCAGGAAATCGTCCTCAGGTGTGGGGAGAGTTTTTTATCAACAGGGTGGGGCAGTTCTTCTGCCTGGAGGCTAATTGTTATTTTTAATCTCTTAGGTGACCTCAAGGCAAGGTGTTTTTCAATAGGTGTGTCAACTCTCTTCCCCTAAGGCAAAGCAAATGTCTATGTGGGAAAGATGTCCTGTACTGTGTGAGGGAATGATTCAGCCCAGGAAACTTGGGGTGTCTGCCTTCTGAGCTCTATCTCTTAGTCCCCAGTTCTGGGTTCTGCTCTCACAGCTCCAGTCCACTTCACCCTCCCTCTGGCAGAGCACAAGGTTAGTGGCTCCACAGGGAATTTTGTGCATTGGCCCTTTAAGAGGGCGCCTGAACTTTCAGCTGCCACTCCCTGGCAGATAGCACCCCACTGCTTTTCACAGCCAGATGTTATGTGGGTACCCTTCTCAGTTTTGGTGCTTTCTGCTGGGGAGCCCAGCTCGGGGATTAGATCCCAGAGTTCTCAGTGACACCCCCCACAGCTGAGATATCTCTCCAGGACCTCAGTTGCTGTCTGTGGGTGCCTGGCCAGCCCATTCATGCCTCCGCCCCTCCTTCCAGTCTCTACGTGGCCTCCACTTTCAGTCCTCAGGTTCTCTCCTGCAAGTTTTCATTGGTTATTTAGGAAGTTTTTCTGTATTTTAGTTGCAATTCCAGTTTGTTCCTGGGAGCATGTCTGTACAGCATCCACTTACTCTGCCGCCATTTTTAATCTCTTACTTGATTCCTTTTCCCTAGATTGCCTTCCCATTTCTCTTCTTTGCTTAATCCTTCCATTTTTTGAGACTTTGGCTGCCATTGCTTCAGTACTTGTTCTCATACCTGAACTCTCACAACACACTAGCAAAATATCATTGAATTAAATTTTCATTTACTGTTGTTTATTTTTATACTAGAGGCCCGGTGCACGAAATTCATGCTGGGGGTGGGGGGGTGTCCCTCAGCCCAGCCGGCACCCTCTCCAATCTGAGACCCCTCGAGGGATGTCCGACTGCCCACAGGTATTGGGCCTAAACCAACAGTCGGACATCCCTCCCACAATCCAGGACTGCTGGCTCCCAACTGCTCGCCTGCCTGCCTTCCTGATTGCCCCTAACCACTCCCCTGCCAGCCTGATCAACACCTAACTGCTCCCCTGCTGGCCCAATTGCCCCTAACTGCCCTCCCCTGAAGGCCTGATCGCCCACAACTGCCCTCCCATGCTGGCCATCTTGTGTCCACATGCGGTGCCCCTCTTGTGTGTTGGAGTGATGGTCAATTTGCATACTACCTCTTTATTAGATAGGCTATACTATTTTCCTTACTTTTATGTATTCCAATTTTAGGTTATAACTAGAGTTTTAGGTTGGGACATATCCTAGTTTCAAAAGGAAAAAAAAATCATCTATATATAAAACCTTTGATCCTCTATAAAATAGAAAATGTCCTAACATAGCTACTGGTAAATGTGATGCTGTAAGTGAATATGCATTGCATACTCTAAAACCACATATAAATGAAATTTATTTTATTTAGAGATAATTTTCTATATGACATAATTAAAAGATTTAAGTTTAGTCCTGTAACTATTTGTTAACAATTGACCATTAATAATATTGGATCCTGTAACTCAGAATTCACTTTTGGGACAAATTTAACAAATTTTCTTGTTATATTTGATGTAATGTAATTAGCATACAACTAATTGATTATTAAGAATCCCATTTCAAATGTCTGATTCAATTTTTTTATAAAAAGGGGAAAATCGCCTATAAGAAGAAAACAAACTTTTACATGAAAAAATAACTTGATTATAATTAGGGATTTTTTTTTTTAGACACAGATTGACTCTTTTGTATAATGAGAAATCTAGGGAAATCAGGTTGTTCTAGCTATTTATTATCAGATGCATTTTGCCCCAAATTACAGTTAATGTTTTTAAAATCTTATAGGAAAGACTGGTATAACAATCTTAAAAATTCGAACTAGAACATTTTATAATTCACTTTTTATTCAATTAATATGTGATTACTCACCGATAGATACAAATTTTTAGATCCAAAAATGATTTTATTTTTCTGAGGAGCCTTTATGTAAAGAATTACAGCCTCGCCTTTAAGAGGAGTGGAAAATTGTAGGAACTCAAATAAATAGCCTCCTCCCTTATTACTTCTTACTTCAAATATGTATGTGTAGCAATATCAGAAAAACTAAAATCCTAATGTTAATAAAAATGATCACTTTCTTCCCTTTGTAATGAAAACATGGTTTTAATGTCAGTATTTTGTACAACCACATATTTCCATTTGAGTTATCAATATTATTATACTACTGCTACAAAGATGCTACATATGGGGTAGATGGATGGATGGATGGATGGATGGATGGATGGATGGATGGATGGATGGAATAATGGGAAGAAAGGAAGGGAGGAAGGAAGGAAAGAAGGGCTAAATTCTCCCCACCTACTCTTCTTCTCTACCCATTCAAGACACAGCTCAGCACAGAGCATAATAATGTGGCATTTAGCAGCGATGATGCATCAAGTGTTTTCCTTACTGCCTTCTCACATCTATTCGTTATCACCTGGAATTTATTTAAACTTATGAACTATTTTTCTTGTATTTAAGTTTTTAGACCTGTGAAGCTTTATTTTTATTATGCTAGAGATACTATATGGTGTTATTATATATATATTACACTTTATACATGCTGTATGCGTGTAGCAAAAGTATGTATTTTTGTGAAGATAAGTACTTGAAAACCCAGTGTAGGTCTGTGATAGTTTCAATAGATAGTATGTAAGTGTGAAGACACTTAAAAAAGTTTGACTGTACATTTATTTGTTTATTTAACAAGTCTAATGAGTACCAGTATACTGAGCCAGTGGAAGAGATGGGGTGGAGGGCAGGCAAAGATGAACAACAGGAAGACGAATGCACAAAGTCATGATTATAATGTAGTGGATGTATTGTGAAAGGACTGTCAATGGATTAGCAAGGCTTGGGCAGGAGAAAACAGCACTGTCTGAAGATGCCAGGGCAGGCCTCACAGAAACACTGGAGTGCCTGTGAGGGTGTGTATCACAGGGAATATCAGTGTGCGGTTGTCTTTTTAGAGGAGAGGTAGGAATCAAGACCATGGCTGAGTCTCAAGGGATAATATCAGGTTTTGTTTGTTTGTTTTGAAGTGAGGGGGTATAGCCTGACCTCACACCTTGGGAGCATGGCATCAGAGTACAGAGGCTGAGACCTCATTCTGCTGCCCCACATCAGTAAAAGGGAACATAGCCAGCTCGTGACTACAGAGAAGTTTCAGCTATAAAAGGGGTATTGAGCACACTTGTTAATTCTATTAGTAGGAAGAGGGGAGGTTGGAGGCCAACTGGAAAACATTTTTGTTGTGGCATAAGTGGTATTAATTTTCTGGGTTGCTCTGAGCGTATTCCAGCAGATTCTGTGCTATTTTTCAGAGATCTGTTAAGAAGAACAGAGATCCTTGAAAGCTGAGTTTCAGATGTTAATTTATGAAAGAGAAAAGAGCAATAGTGGCATTATTCTGTTTGGAACTAAAGACTGTTCATTTGAGATCTAGTTCCTTCCAAGTTGACTCTGGCTTTGTGTGAGTGAAATGATGTTGGTCAATTGGAAATTACGAATTTTATGGAATACAGAAAAATCATATTCCTCTTTGTTAAATGATTACAATGTTATATATTTTCTATGGATAATCTTGATTCAGAATGGAGTAGTTACATCAATTGAGCTATTTGCTGTCAACCTTCTATTTCCAGTGGGGATAACTTGCATGAGAAGGAAAGGGCAGAAACCCTTTCTCCTGACAGCATTGGTTGGGTTAATTATAGTTTTGGTGCATTCCATTAGCAAGGATATCAAAACCAAGCCGATTAGGTTAGGCATAATTAAGGCTCAGGGTCAGTTTCCAAGGCTGCTATCAGGAACAAAGGGATTGACATTTAGAGTAAGAGTGAGATTGTACACAGGAATTGGAATTGAAATCTGATTGATGAGCAAGTGAAGGGCCAGCACAAGCCACTCTGGAGTAAATGGAAAAACAGCAGAAGTAGGGCTAACAAACCAAGAGGTTGGGGCCGGAAGAACAGGTGGTAGAAAGCAAGAGGGCCTTCTCTTTATTTTCTCTTTCTCCTAATGCACATCATACCTGGAGGCAACTTCTGATAGATGGAGACTGTGAAGGCCTGGGAGTATTCTGACTCTTAAATGATTCTATTTCTATTAGAATATTCTTTTTAATATCATAGAAGCCCTTTTCATTTTTATTTTCTTAAACACTAACAAGATGCATATTTGATACTAAAGGTTCATGAATGGTAGTTGACTTTTGTATTTCCATAAAACATTTTTTTCTCTATATCTGATATTTCAAGGGGAAAGTAAACAGATTTTGCCCACAAAAACTTAGTATTTTGGAGCCAAATATTTTGAGGTTTCTTCTATTGCCACTAAATAACTTTGCATTTCACAAGTTGATTCAAAAAATATCTTACATTAGTTGCAGAGTCAAATAAAGTAACAATTTTGCTGTACTACAATTGGTAAAATGCTAACAATGTGTTAATATAAATAGTGGAACTAGTGCCCAAGTCATTTAAGAAATATGAGGAATTTCTATTTTTAAATTTTAGCTAAAATGCAAAACACTATTGCTTTATTAATAAATAACAATAAAAATAATTAGTTATTAGAACTTCATGCATAATCTTAGTTATTCACATGTGCTTCACAGGGTATCTTTGATGAAAGTTGAGTTAATTTACATGTATCCATATGGTGCCAGCAAGCAGTTCATACCATTTTACCTGAATGTGGTAATTACTATGTCATGCAATCAATTTTAATAGCAATGATATTGCAGTGTGAAGAGTTCATCTAGAGCTTAAAATCATCACCAGTGCTGCTTTTGTGAAGGATAATTGAGATTTTGTGTGAAACACTGAATGTATTACCTCATGATAATGAAAAGAATAATGAATATAAAGCACTATTATTTGATGGTTAGCCCATACCAAGCAAATTTTTGAAAATAAAGTTGAATAAGAGTTTTAAGTCTCAAAATTGTTCAAAAAGCATTGAATGAACCTGAAAATTGAACTGTGTCCTCATAAAGATAAAAAGCTTTTTTATTTTTCTTGAAAGTTTATTCTTGACCCTTTTCTCAGTTAAATACTGGATTATTAAAAATAGATGTTAATTACTAAATATTGTATACTAGTGGAAATAAATGCAAAATGAGGATATTTTTGATCTCTTCTGGTCACTAGCAGGAGTGATTTGACACAATTTATGTAGTAAATAAATACATTATAAAATTTTGTATTTCAGAGATTCATCAGAAGTAGTCATACATTCAGCTGATGCATTTGCACCTGTGGCTTACCTACGCTTTTTAGAATTGCATTTGGAAGACAAGGCAAGTAAACCTGAGATTCCCAGTGATTTCAAGAGACAATTATGATATGTGCATTGGCTTAATATATATATAATACTATAACAACAGATGAAAAGATAAAAAATGATTTTATCATTAGTGACTTTTTTAGACCTTCTGTCGATAACTAAGAATTTTGCAAGTGTTTATAGTTTTAAGAGCTCTATATTAGGCATAATTAAAGCCTAAGTGTAAGATATTACATTTCTGAAGAGTTTGCAAAGAGAATCACATATATATTAATCAAGGAGAAGACAAGACAGTGTATCACCAAATATTAAATTTTCTAGTAAAATAAGAATTAGATAGTTGTGCATAATGCTTAGGGGAAAGGCTTGAGGATGAATTGGATTTTTATCATGCAAAGTTTAATAAAGAAGAAAAGGAGAAATAAAAGCTTTTCAAAAACATCCAAGGGAACAGAAGTACAAGTAAAAGATGGAAAGTGAATTGTCTCCCACACATATCCGACCTGGATCAAACCCACAACCTGGATATGTACCTTGACCTGGAATTGAACCCGTCACCTTTTGGTACACGGGATGACACTCCAACCAACTGAGTCACTCCAGCCAGGGCAGGAGTTTTATTTTAAATACATTGTTTGTCAAGATACAGAAGAATGTCAATTTAAAGATGTGGAAAAGGTAAAGACCTGGATTAGACCCTTTGTAAAAGTTCTGCTTCTTGAGATGTAAGGGATTGGAAAAGGCCTTCTGCATCTTCAGCATTCTATCATCAAGCCTTGAGACATGCCCACAATTATCTATACAATAAGGAATATGAAGAATCAGGAGGGGTAATGGAAATTGACAAAAGAAAGAGAAAATGGTAACCCCAGAAATCTCAGCCTGAGAGAGTTTCCAAAAGTAGAGAATAGTTGTTGGTGCCATTTTTCTAGAAAAGTTAGGATAAACAGGTTTGGAAATAGGTCATTGAATTGGGCCAGAAGATGACTATTGGTGACCTTTTACTAAAAAGCCAGTAACCCTCAAGAGAATGAAACTATACTAACAAAACATCTGAAGGACCCGCTGAAAGGAGCACCTCACTTTAGGTGCTACATTGGCTGCCATGTGCTCACACAGAAAATCAAAACCACTGAATTCTTGCTTAGGCATGTTGGCCATTATATGTTCTGCTCTACCTAAGTAGCTAGTTATTCACTTTGTGTTGGTATTTCATTGGCTTTCACAGTCCCATTTTCCCTTACATAAAAGAATGTTACTTGTTTAACGTGGGATCTTTACTGACACTGAATAAATATGGTGCATTTCCCTTTTTATCTTTTAGGTGTCCCCAGTGCCTGACAACTACAGAACATCTAATTATATACACAATTCTTAAAAAGCATTTTTGAATACTGTTTACTAAGCTGCCATTTCCATATGAAAAAAATTACATAGCATTTTCTCAATTATGATGTCCTGCTTTTTCTCATTACATTTTTATCATCAGAAAAAGTTAATGGAACCATTAATTAATTGGGGAAATGTGGATGCCATGTTCATTATATTGTCAAGTTACTCAGGATTCACCCTGACTTTTTGTTAACACATCCTATTCATGTCCTCTATACTCTGCAGGATATGTGCCTTTTTCTTTTTTCTTTTTTTTAACCTTTGCTTCATATACCACCCTCACTTCTGTGACATTTTTTACTTTGATCACAATGGTTTGTTTTCCTCTTTGTCTCTTTCCTGCTCTTATGTCTGCCAGTAATATCATGGTGCAGAAGCATTTGAAAAAGGATGAAAAAGCAGTCACTTAGCCAATCAGATTTAATCTATTGGATGTCACCAAAGTGCTGTACCATTTTTGCTCTCAGTATATTCATTGTTTCAACATTATTGGGCAATTAGGAAGACTGTCATTAACTCTTATTGGTTACTTTATAACTGATTTTTTAAAAGCAACTTTTCAGTATTACCTGTGCTGATTTTAGGCAAATTTTTAAAAATAGACTTTATTTTTTAGAGCAGTTTCAGATACACAGCAAAATTGAGCAGAATGTATAGTTTCCATATACACCTGCCCCCACACAACATAGTCTCCCCATAATCAACATCCCCCACAAGAGTGGTACATTTGTTACAGTTGATGAACCTATGTTGACACATCATAATTACCCAAAGTCCAGTGCCATGTTTATTTTCCTTTCTGCATAAAAATCCATAGCAGTGTTATGTTGTTTTCTAAATAAAGAAGATGCTTAGCCATGAATGGACAACCATCTGATATGTTGCCCTAACATCTTTTTTTCAGTCTTGCTCCCAAGACTCCTCTTACATGTATTATTTTCTCCAGTAATATAGAAACACTGGATATTCTCTTACAATGCCTTCTGCTTCTCTTCTGCCTTACCTTAGCGTATTCTTTCTTCTTTGTCTTCCTTTCTTCTTCCATTTTTTAACTGTTTACATCCTGCCCAGGATGCAGGATTGAATTCAAATATTCTTACACGTTTAGCCACACCCCTGGCCTGCCCTAACACTTTGTTTCTTCTGTGCTTGTGACAGATAGCTTAATCAGCTTTATGTTATAGTTGTTTAAGGAATTATTGTGTCTACTAGGTTTATAAACTTATTGAGGATTATTCTTTTTTCGTCTTCATGCTCTCTGTAATAGCTATTCATTCTGCAATAAGAATTTTTGAATTTAACTGATTATTATTTTCATACTTCATTTTTTCTTTCTACAGAATTTTATAGACATGTGCTTTCATTTTATGTTGCATACCATTTAATGAAAGTCATTTTTTTCTTTATTTTTCTTTTATCTTTGTTGTTGGAGAAAAATGTCCTGAACACACTGAAATGTAAAATACAACCTTTAGAGGGTTTTTTAGTGTAAATTTGTTATAACTAAGATTTTCACTTTGTATATAATAACCCTTAAATTTTTAACCTATTTAAATTTTTCCTTATTAAAATCTTAAATTATTTATGTGAGTGTGTCAAGAATATCAACTAAACATGGTATTCCAAACAAAATAACTGTAAAATGGTATGCTTCAGGTTAAAAATGGGGAGATATATTAAAATTTCTTTTGAGGCCCTAACTTTATTGCTCATGGCAAACTTGATGTTAAAATATACCATAGATCACTACAATGACAGGCTTGAGAAAATGAAAAATACAAAGCTTTACATAAATCAGGCAAAAGATCATATTAAAATGCGTAACCGTTACAGAAGAATCAAGACTTATTTTTAACTATTCAGAAGCTATTTCTTCTTTATATAGTAGTTGTTTTAGATTTTTTAAGCAGCTTTATGATAAACAATATTTCAAATTAATTATTGGCATAGCCGTTGCATTTATAAAGAGACAAGGTTCACAGAAATTTAGCCCCAATTTTACTAATGTATCCTACTATCACTTAGCACTTAATTTTATTTTTAACTGAAATAATAATATGGGACAATTACATATGTTATATACTTATAGAAGCTCACATTTTTAGAAGTTATAACTTAAAAACAGTATTTCTCATAGCCCATTCTTGGTTCTTTCATTTTATTTTGCTTTATTTCATAAATATCAAATATACTGAAAAAAATTATAACATTAAACCATCTCTGTGCTTTTATTTTTCTTGTCAACAAATACCTGTGAGCACCTACTCTCTTTAAAAGAACTGTTAGGCCTACATGTAATTCACTACAAATATGGGCAAATTACAGTGTAACTATAATTAAAGTTATTGTAGGTAATCATTATTATGAGTACAGTGACACATATCACTGGTTTGGCTAATCTGGACTGAAGTTATGGCCTTAATATTGATTCAAGGTGAAAAGTGATGTGTACGATATGATCCTGTTTTTCTAAAAAATACTGGTGGAAGCAGGGAGTTTATATATTTAGTTATATTTGAAAGATCATAGTAAAAGATGGGCATATATATAATAATCAGACTGATAACATTGGTTTCTTTGGGGGAAGCAGACATGAAGGGGAAAATACAGAAAAGCTTAATTCCTTATAATTTTTTACTTCATACAATGGGTATATAGTTTTGAATTTTAAAATATTTGATTAAGAAAACTAGGTGAGAGAGTGGTATAGTGAGTTCCATGATAAATATGTAAATGTTATTCTACAACATTTCAACAGTTTAGGTAGAAGGAGACATACTAGGGTCCTTTAGAAGTAAGTGAAAAAATAGATATGTGATGACTAAAAGTATTTGAATGGCACGTCTCGAATATGCTGTACACAGGAATGCTCTGACCGCTCTTAGCAACATGTTTAAATTTGAGGATCCCCTCCATGGAGATATGCTGCCACTGTCTTCATGCCGCCTCAGAAATACAGGCGTGGGCGAAAGTAGGTTTACAGGTGTTCGTACACGAAACAGAGTTTATTCTTGTATTGTTATTTATTAATTATTGTATTGTTTTCCATATGAATAACTATAAACCTACTTTTGCCCACCTCAGTATGTTCTTACAGAAGAAACAAAGGAAGAAGATACAGGATGACTTATTTACCAACACTTGGTTTAGCACAATTTCCTAACCCCACCCACCTGCTCCCCATGTTTGCCCACAGGCCAAAGAGAGAACACTGGTTTGGTAAAAGGGAGCAAGCATGTAGCGGGCTTTACAACCTAATTCCATAAACCTCAATGCTATGACTAGGGGGTCAGATGGATTATGCCCTTCGGTAGCACTAAATTACTGCTGCTACAAATGTTCAGTGGAGCAGATTAATAAACCAGGCATCAGATTCACCTACATTTAAATAGCTTCTTGACTAATTCCTGTCCCAAATGCATGGATTCAGTAGTAGCAACAATGTACCACTGTGTCAGCGAGTCGGGAATCAAACCGGATAGTGGAAGAGAATATGTGACAGACTTACTAGTTTGGGAGAAGATAATAAAATGGCCCAGTTAACTGATTTCCTTATCTACTTTCAAACTCTAATTGGCTACCTTTGTTTCTTTAATTTTTTTTTTTGGGGGGGGGGGCGGGGGGAGGGATTGTTATGCTCTCCTATGCAGCCTATTGTTGTTGTTATTGTTGTTTTAAAAAAGACTGTAGTTTCTCATTGGTGTTTTTTAAACTTCCTCTTTGGTGATTTTTTTAATAAAAGAGAAGTGTTATACTACTTATTCGTTTAACATATTTATTGAGTGTTTACATCTTCATGCCTGACACTGTTCACACAATGGGGATTCAATAGTGAATTAAACATCCAAAAAATTATTTCCTTCGTGGAGCTTTTATTTTATGGAATGAGACAGAGAAATTAATCAAATATATAAAATAAAGGAGAAGGTGGGAAAGTTGCCTCCCTGGCCATAGAAATGGGTTTGGACTTTATGGAATAAGGATGCACTGAGAATCCTGGGTTTCAGTGGTGATAGATATAAACCCAGATTAAGAGTAATAAGAGTAGTCCTTTTGTTCATATGGCAGATAGTGGTGGTGAACTTTGTTGTTTGGAATAAGGTGTGGAAGGGGTAAGGCTCCTGCCAGAAACCTGTAGATTATTATTCAGTAAATTGGAAGAGAGGCCAAAAGAAAATACTCAGAATGAAAAATAAGGAAAAAACAAAGATAGTAAATATACATTAGAAGTGAAGGAAAAAGAAACAGTGGAAAGGCTTAAAGTACATGTAATTAGAGTATCAAAAAGAGAGGAGAGGGATAATGGGATATTTAGTGCAATATTTGAAAAGATATTGGCTGAGAACTTTACAAAATTGATGAAACACACCAAGATACCAGATTCAAGAAGTCTTATAAACCACACACAAAGTAAAAAGATAACCTTATTTAGGCATATGCTGATAAAACTGCTGGAAACAAAAGGCAAAGATAACCCAAAACAGCCAAAGTGTGTTAGAAAGAGGCTATTTTCAAAGAAGGAACTATTAGAATGAAACATGATTTTTCAAGAGAGAAAAAAAAAGCCAGAACAACAGAATCACATCTTTGGTAGTGCTTTATGAAAATAACTGTCATCCTAGAATTCTGTACCTAGCAAAAATATCCTTCAAAAATAAAAATGAGGAAACTTTTAGGATGATAATAATGTATTTGTCAAATCTCATTGATGTATTTCTGGTTTGTTCATTTCACTGTAATATTTGTTCTCAAGAAATAAGTAATTATTTAATTCCAGTTAATAGTGTTCATATTAAGACTTAATATCCTTTTAGTATCTTTTATGTTAGTCTGCTAGTACTATTCTTTTTTCTTTTTTTAGTATTTGTTTGAAAATTTCTTAAAATCATTTTTGTTTTACACCAACATTTTATTTATGTAAATTTTAAGCATGTAAAAGGTAAAGGAAGGAGAAATAAAGACCTTCCCAAAATATAAGCAAACAGATCTCAACAATACATTAAAAGAATTATACACCAGGACCAACTGAGATTTATTCATGGAATGCAATGGTGGTTCAGCATATGAAAATTAACATAACATACTACATAACAGAATAAAGGACAAAAACCACATGATTTTTCTCAATTGATGTAGAAAAGGTATTTGATAAAATTCAACATGCTTGTATGGTGAAAACACTCATCAAACTAAGAATAGAAGGAAATGAACTTAACATATTAAAAACCATAGATGGAAGCCCATAGCTATTATTATACTCAATGGTGAAAAACTGACAGTTTTCCCCCTAAGATTAGGAACAATTGAAAGATGCTCTATTTCACTGCTTCTATTAACACAGTACTAGAAGTCTTAGTCAAAGCAATTAGACAAGAAGAAGAAACAAAAGGCATTCAAATCAGTAAGGAAGAAGTATGTAATTTTTTTATTGGACATGACATGATCTTATATGCAGAAAACTTTAAGGATTACACACACAACATTAGAACTAATGAAAAAATTTAACAGAGTTTCAAGATATAAAATGAATGCACAAAATTGAGTTGCATTTATATACACCTAAAAACCTGTCTGTAAAGGAAATTAAGAAAACAGTCCCATTTACAATAGCCTTGAAAAAAATCAAATATTTAGGAATAAACTTAACCAAGGAAATAAAAGACTTATACACCGAGAACTACAAAACATTGCTGAAAAAAATTAAAGACATGAATGAAAAGACAGCCATGTTCATAGTTTAGAAGATTTAATGCTAAGTGACAATGAGATATCACCTCACACCTGTCATTATGGCTGTCATCAACAAATGACAAGTGTTAGCGATGTTGTGAAGAAAAGGGAACCCTAGCACACTGCTGGTGGGAATGCAGACTTGTGCAGCTCTGTGGGAAACAGTATGGAGTTTCCTCAAGAATTTAAAAATGGAACTCCCATTTGACCTAATCATCCCACTTCTCGGAATATATCCTAAGAAACCTGAAGCACTCATCAAATTGAATATATGCACCCCTGTGTTCATAGCAGCACAATTTGCAATAACTAAATTGGAAACAGCCTAAATGCCCATCAGCAGATAAGTGGATAAAACAAATGTTGGTACATTTACACAATGGAATACTATACAGCCATAAAAAATAAAGAACTCTTACCATTTGCAACAGCATGGATGGACCTGGAGAGTATTATGCTGAGCGAAATAAGCCAGTCAGAGAAAGGTAAGTATCACATGATCTCACTCATATGTGGAATCTAATGAACCAAATAAACTGATTATCAAAAATAGACCCAGTGTCATAGAAGCATGAACAGACTGTTGAACCTCAGAGGAAAGGCAGAGGAGCGTGGGTGGGAAGAGATCAACCAATGAACTTGTATGCATATATGCATAACCTGTGGACACAGACAATGGGGTAGTGAGGGCCTGGGGGAGGGAAAGGATGGGAGCAGGCTGGAAGAGGTTAATAGGGGAAAAAGGAGGGCCTATGTACTACTTTCAACAATAAAAAAAAATTTTAAAAACAATAAAAAACAAAATAGTAAATAAAAATTTCAAAAAAAAATTCAATAGTTCATTGGGATTAACTGATGAAAATTGTTCTTTACGATAACCTTACAGTTTTCATCTTTTTAAAAAATTGTTTCTTTTAGAGCTGAAATTACAGCATCTCAAATAAGTATCCTTCTCCATTCCACTTTTAAGTTCAAAATTAGAGAATTTTGAAAAATTAAAAAAGGGCATCTATGGCCTATTTGATGTTCATTAGATCCCTACAGTAGTTTAGATACACTGAACTAATACACAACAACAAATATAACCGAGATTGAACACATATTTGCTTTCTTACAGATATGCCCAGTGCTTTAAGTTTACTAATTCACTAGAAGCCCGATGCATGAAATTCGTGCAAGAGTAGGCCTTCCTTCCCCTGGCTCCCAGCACTGGCTTCCCTCTGGCACCCGCGACCTGGGCTTTCCTCCAGCCCCAACTTCATCCGGAAGTACGTTTGGAATGAAGTCCAGTCTAATTAGCATATTAACCTTTTATTATTATAGATATACTTTATCCTACATTAGTTAATTTTATTAGTTTTATTATTATACTAATAGTATTATATTTTTAATGGAGCTAACATATGACTTTCTATGCTACTGCATAAATGGTATATTTTCCTATTGGAATTTTTAATTTAAAAAAATTTTTTTAACTCATGCTTTTTTACTTTGTCTCTTCTGCATTTAATAGCTATATGATATTTTTTTCCTTTTCTTTGATCCACCTAACTCTTGCTATTACAATGTAACTCTTTTGGTCATTGATCACATTGTGCCACCAGTATCATCTTGTTTGCCTTTGTTAGATATTGAGTTTTCCTACTGATGGATAAACTTCTTGCATTTCCTTCTTGCATTACATCTTGAGCAAATGTAAATTGCCCTTATTATCCAATTTCAGCTGTTTTGTGTTTTTTTTAGCTTCCTGATTCATCATTTTTTATTCTGCTCACTAATCTTTCTTCTTAGCATTTGGCATCCTCAGACAAGCTGTTTATGGGTAGCTGCTCATGTGAGATGAACTGTAATGAAGATAAAATCCTTGCTGGAACAGAGGAGCAACACCAAAATGAAACTTCACCCCGCATCTGGAAATCATCGACGCCCCTTCCACAAAACTGAATTTTTATTTTACTCAGTTATGTACTCTTTTTCTCCTTCATTGCTTTGCTGCATTATTGCATATGAGTACACACATATTTACAAACTTGCTATTATGACTTTTTAACCTCCTAATTTTTGCAGAATGTTAACAACATTAATAATGATCACTGATGCTACCGAGCAGTTGTGAGGTTGATACTTCTCTGAGGGCTTCATGTCTACTATACAATTTGAGCTAAAGTATCAGTTACTGAATATGTTAGTAAGTACTGTCATTTTCGCCATTTTGCACCTCTGAGAAGTTGTAGCGTGGGAATTCAAGCATAGGCATCTGACCCCAAGGCCTGAGCAATTGTACCCACAATGATATATGGTCTTTTTAAAAATACAATTAAGACAATGTGTTTGTTCGTGATGACAAAATAACCAGTTGAAAAATGTGAAATTAATCCAAACCAGATTGTTCTTTATTCAGAAAAAATAATAAAATGGATCAAATTATATTATTTTTTATTTAAGTAATGTGTAATGTAGTGCAGAAACAGTGTGAGAATTAGTTGTCATGAATACCTATTTAGATGATAGTTTAACTTTCTCTTATCATTGACTGCTTCTCTTTTTTCTTTAGACTTTAAATTTATTTGTTTTCCTAATCCAAACATTAATTTCTTCTGAAAGTACACACATACTTACATATCAAAAAAAAATGTTAATTGGAAAGGAAAATTGGATTGGTTATGTGAACACATTTTTATAAATTAGATTTTTTTTTCAGTTATTTTTTAAACTTAGGAATAATAATGTGTTTTAAAATGTAAAAACTTTAGATTTATGAAGAGACTTACTAATTTCCATGCTGTGAACTGATTCAAAGTAATGTCGTGGTAGCGTTTGTAATGGCCTGGCATCTGAGGCACAAGGTTTCCTGCGTTCATCCCACGCTG